GACGAACTCGGGAGTAAGTTAAAGAAGAGACGAACTTTAGACGAACAAAAGAAAAGATCCATGGTGGGATCAGATCTCCATGAGGAGATCGCTAGCATCACATGTTTCTCTGAGACGGTCAGACTGCAAGAGAGCGTCCAGAGGGAGGTTCAGTCCTCTTTAGGGGAACTGGAGTCCACACCTCTGAGGTGCGAACTGGCCAATGACATTCAACGAAACTTTTGGCGGCCAAATTCTCTTTGTCTTGTCAAAGTTAAACTATGGCCGTGTCCGCCTCTTTTATGACCAGTCAGAATTTGTCAGAATCATTCCACAAGATGGTAAAAACATAGAAAACATACATTTTACTGTAATCTTCTGTATCTGACCAAATCAGTTGGAACGAGATAATTAAAACGGTACCAAACACAACATTTACACATACTTTGGAATATGAAGATACATCTTAATACATAATACACACTCTCAAGAGTTTCACTGATACGCTAGGAGATCATTTCTAAACTACCATGGACTGGGAAACACACTGTTACGTTTTGCGTGGAAGCAAAGGCAGTAGGCGGATCTAAATGCAGCAGTAGACTTTAATAATACAAACTAGGGAAAACTCAGAACAGGCAAGACACTCGAAAATACATACATTCATTCAATAACTGACCAAGAACAAAAGAGCAGACAGGATTAAATACACAGACGGGATGAGGGAACAAGACACAGCTGGGGCAAATCAGAACACAGGTGAATAAACTGAACACTAACAAGGAGCGGGAAAACTGGGAACAGGACTAAACCAAATACACAATGACGGGGAAAACTCAGGGAAACAGATACAGAACAGACATAACTATAACATTATCCCCCCCTTCCATAAGGCGTGTCCCCGCGCCGAATAAACATCAAATAGGGGCGGGAGGGTGGGCGCCCTGGAGGCTGAAGAGGGCGTGGCTTGCCCGGAACAGGAAGCCTCCAGGGCGGAGCAGGACGTGACGGCGGCCAGGGCGGAGCAGGATGAGGCGAAGGCCAGGGCGGAGCATGACGTGGTGAAGGCCAGGGTGGAGCATGGCGTGGCGAAGGCCAGGGCGGAGCATGACGTGGTGAAGGCCAGGGTGGAGCGTGGCGAAGGCCAGGGTGGAGCATGGCGTGGCAAAGGCCAGGGTGGAGCATGGCGTGGCAAAGGCCAGGGCGGAGCACGATGAGATGGTGGCCAGGTCGGAGCAGACTCAGACGAGGATGAGGACCATGTCGACGTCGTCTCCATGGCCCTCACGGAGTACCTTCTGCCCCCCCCCAAAAAATACTTGGGGAAATCCTCGGGAGGAACCTCCAGGTGGTAAAAGGGTTCCGGGCAGGCCTCCCGGAGCTTGAAGGGCGCAGGCAGGACGAGGCGCAGAGGCGGGGCCGGCAGGGCGAGGCGCAGAGGCGGGGCTGGCAGGGCGAGGCGCAGAGGAGGGGCCGGCAGGGCGAGGCGCAGAGGCGGGGCCGGCAGGGCGAGGCGTCTGGGAACGCCCTTCGGAGCCTGGCGAGGCAAACGAGACCTCCTTCTCCTCCTGCGACGACGCGTCACTGGGCTTGACTCACTCGACTCGGTAGACTCACTTGACTCGGTAGACTCACTTGACTCGGTAGACTCACTTGACTCGGCTTGACTCGGTAGACTCACTTGACTCGGTAGACTCACTTGACTCGGTAGACTCACTTGACTCGGTAGACTCACTTGACTCGGTAGACTCACTTGACTCGGTAGACTCACTTGACTCGGTAGACTCACTTGACTCGGTAGACTCACTTGACTCGGTAGACTCACTTGACTCGGTAGACTCCCTTGACTCGGTAGACTCCCTTGACTCGGCGGCACTTGACTCACTTGACTCGGCGGCACTTGACTCACTTGACTCGGCGGCACTTGACTCACTTGACTCGGCGGCACTTGACTCACTTGACTCGGCGGCACTTGACTCACTTGACTCGGCGGCACTTGACTCACTTGACTCGGCGGCACTTGACTCACTTGACTCGGCGGCACTTGACTCACTTGACTCGGCGGCACTTGACTCACTTGACTCGGCGGCACTTGACTCACTTGACTCGGCGGCACTTGACTCACTTGACTCGGCGGCACTTGACTCACTTGACTCGGCGGCACTTGACTCACTTGACTCGGCGGCACTTGACTCACTTGACTCGGCGGCACTTGACTCACTTGACTCGGCGGCGCTTGACTCACTTGACTCGGCGGCACTTGACTCACTTGACTCGGCGGCGCTTGACTCACTTGACTCGGCGGCGCTTGACTCGCTTGACTCGGCGGCACTTGACTCGCTTGACTCGGGAAGCGCGGTCTCACTTGACTCGGCGGCACTTGACTCACTTGACTCGGGTTCGTCGAGGCTGAAGCGACGTGCGGGTTCGGAAGACAGAAGCTCAGCCTCAGGCATGTCGGTCTCGGCAGGAAGAAGCTCAGGCATGTCGGTCTCGGCAGGAAGAAGCTCAGGCATGTCGTGGAAAGCGGGCTCGACTCGGTTCACGTGAAGCGCAGGCTTGTGGAGCGTGGTCTCGGCTGAGCAGCTGAAGGGAAGCGCGGGCGCGACCGGGCTGACGCTAAGCGCAGGCTCTCGCAGCTTCTCCTCCACGCCCACAGTAAACGGGGAACCGCTCCACAACAGGGCCAGGTCAACGTACCATTCTAAAGACCCGTGCGGACCAGGTTCGGGCATCAGAGACCGGAGTGGTTCCGATAATCCTCCGCGGAAGAAGATCTTCAGGCCGTGGGTGTTCATTTGCGCGAGATATGCCAGCTCGAGGAATTCTGCTACATAATCCTCGATGGCGCGATTCTCCTGGCGAAGACGGAGGATCTGGACATCAGGACTCCAGGTAGGCATGGCTGCTAGATCCTAGTGGGTCAGTTATTCTGTTACGTTTTGCGTGGAAGCAAAGGCAGTAGGCGGATCTAAATGCAGCAGTAGACTTTAATAATACAAACTAGGGAAAACTCAGAACAGGCAAGACACTCGAAAATACATACATTCATTCAATAACTGACCAAGAACAAAAGAGCAGACAGGATTAAATACACAGACGGGATGAGGGAACAAGACACAGCTGGGGCAAATCAGAACACAGGTGAATAAACTGAACACTAACAAGGAGCGGGAAAACTGGGAACAGGACTGAACCAAATACACAATGACGGGGAAAACTCAGGGAAACAGATACAGAACAGACATAACTATAACACACACAGACATACAGGAATATATCATATACAATTGGTAATGGCTCGTTTTATGCGTGTAATGTAAAGGTCCATTATGTGTGTGTGTGTTGGTTCGTGTGTGTGTGTGTCAGAGTTCTGTTATCTCTCTTGTAGAGATGGGGGATGGCATGGAATGTTAAAAGCATTTTATGACTCTGGCCATTCCTGAGAGAGAGAGTGTGTGTGGCTTTCAGTCTTTTTGGGTCTTTAGCAGGATGTATTTAGTTATTCAGATTCACCCTTTTAGCCCAGTCCTTACATTAAATAAGGTAAAGGCATTTAACCAGTTTAATTGTAGTTCATAGACAATAGTTTTATAGAAATTAGTTTATTAATTAAATTAACTTGGTCCATAAACTTGGTCTGAATATTTTGTCCATAAATCAAACACACTTGCATGTAATAATATGAAACTCGGTACACATATAGACCTCATCGGGCCAAACAACTTTCGTGCTCTAAGTTTTAAGTCTCTTCGGGTGATAGTTTAAACACAAAAACTGGCTGCCTGCACATTCACTGTCCTCGCAGTTGCTGCTGCGCTCTCTTCAAAAAAAGAAACAAAAAAGATGCTGCAGCCAATGAGCAGCCGGCAGGGGCTGGCTACAGGAGGACTCAACCTCCACGGACAGTTTTTAATGTTTTATCAGACAATAACTACTCAAGATTTTGCTTTTGTATAATTTTCAGGACAATTATAACCAATTCGGGATTCGGGACAACAGCTTAGATTTCGAAACTGTCCCGAATTTCTCGGGACGTCTGGTCACCCTAGAGACAACACAAAATCAGCTTAAACAAAAGTTCCATTTTATTACTTTTTTTTTTTTTTTATTGTTAGTAAAAATACATGGTATAACCAGTGTAAGAACTTACATAACATGAAACCTTCTTTCTTAACTACTAGATAGCAGCTGTAGAACAAGTCACTGCTGAATTGCCACAGACACATTCACTTTTCCTGAGCAATTTCATCTTCTCTCAGTGATGTGTTTGTCTGAGTCCATATTACGAGAGTAATCGCCTCTTAAAATTTACATGGAATATCTGGTACCGTTTTTGTCAAAAGAATAAGTTGTTACTACTACTGGTTCATTCAATGTTAAATCCTTTAATTTAATGAAAACTAAATTAAATCTATTCATTATACCTAAATAAATCACAAGTTGTGTTCATTTTTACTCCTTACATTTTCACAATGTGCAGAGAGTGATTCAATCCAATAAAGTCTTCAATATGTTCTCAATGGATCACCTCTAAACAGCGAGACTAAAAACAAGTTGTTTGTGATATGAATGATATTTGATTTGATATTGTTGACATGGTTTCACAAATGCCTCATATGTTCAATGCAAATAATTAAACTCCACAAAGAAACAAACACATCCCTTCATAATTTTAAGGCAACACACTTGTTTTCTGAAATATAATTGTATCTGTATGAGATGACCATGCACTGCTTGAGCGATGACACTGACACGAGTATTTTCACATTGTTGCTTTACTGTTCAGTTCATCTTGTATACAGTAACACTCAGTGTTTACTGCGCATGTGCAACACAACAGAGGATCAATACGGGTGTCGGAAGAACAACACATGCAACACTTACAATGCAGTTCACAACTATTTAAACCGGTTCCCCTTGTCAAACAATCAAACTTCAATACTAATTTTACAATAAATGACTGTATTAAAGGTTATTCCATCTTTTTCTCATTACCAAATTATGGAAGTGAACTTTGCTCACTTAAACACCTTCAGGCAATGAATTTTCTCATGTCGCAGTAGAGCAGATAAATGGCTGAAATTTCTCTCACATGAAGAGCACTGGTATGGTTTCTCTCCAGTATGAACTCTCTCGTGAGCTTTCAGGTGTCCTGACCGAGAGAATCTCTTTTCACAGTGTGAACACTTGTACGGCTTCTCTCCAGTATGAACTCTCTGGTGGGATTTTAAGTTGCTGGATGAAGTGCAGCTCTTTCCACAGTCAGAGCACATATAAGGTCTCACACCAGTATGAATACGCTCATGCTCTTTTAAAGATCCAAGATGTGAAAAACTCTTTCCACAAACAGAACAGACGTGAGGCTTCACAGCCGAATGAACATTAAGGTGTCTTCTTAAGCTTGATTCAAAAACAAATGTTTTATCACACTGATCACAGCTGAATGATCTCAATCCAGAGTGACGGCGCAGATGCTCTTTGAGAGAGCCTTTCTGAGTGAAACTCTTTCCACACTGAGAGCATGTGAATGGTTTTTCTCCAGTGTGAATTCTCATGTGCACATTTAGGTGTCCTATAAGTATGAAAGTCTTTCCACATTCAGAGCAGGTGAACGGTTTTTCTCCAGTGTGAATAATCATGTGTCTGTTAAGATTTCCTTTCTGAATGAAACTCTTTCCACACTCAGAGCAGGTGAAAGATCTTTTGACTCCAGATTTTCCAGCTGGTTTTTGTGTGAAATTCTCTTCAGTCTTTGAAACGACTGCATTTCCTTTTTCATTTTTGAAATGATGAGGTTTTTGTAACAGATGTTTGTCTTCATTTTTATATGTCAGTTTGCCTTCTTCATTTGTGAAATGATGGTGTTTGTCTTCATTCACTTCCATCCGGTCTGAAACCAACATATATTCAATTTAAAAAAGGACAAATGAGAAACAAAGAAAAAGTTAAATCTTAATTTAGCACAAATCTAGTTTACTTCTGAGTCTCCTAGTATCTAGATTTAGATGTTATTGTTATATGTCAGTTTTCATCTTAATGTTCCTCATCAGTCATTAAAGAGAATGAAGGAAAACACCAACCTATTTGTTCCTCTGTATCTTCATCTTTTATTCTGCCGGGTTCTTCCTTAATCTCCATCTTTACAATAGTATGTCCGTAGTTTCTCCTGGAGTAATTCCTCCTGCTTGCTTCTTCTTCTCCTGTGGGAAGATGGGAATATTCCCCAGCATTTAAACTTATGAACGGCTGTGGGAGCTTCACTGACTGAAGGAGTGAATTGTGGTCGTTGTTGCTCATTTAGCAGATGATCATCACACTTACAATCACTCGAGATTATTCATGGTTTAAGTGAATTAAGGGTTTATTGCTGTAATCAGACATCAATTAAATGTGGGAATGTGTGCAAAATAGAATAGGAATAGAATAGGAACCAAGGAATAGTTTGCCAGCATTCAGATGAGATTAACCTAAAACTAGTTATTTCTTTCACTAACGACTGTAGCATAATTTACAGCTACACTTTTAAGAAAATGTTGAATTTTTTAATTTAGGCACACATAGTGTTTACTGTTACCTTCACACTGTTTTTTAGCGTATGGATAGTTCAATTAAAACCTTGTCATCTTTGGCTTAGTATTAATGTTGTTAAACTTAATGTTCGAGGAAATCTTTCTGCTTAAAGCTCCAGTCCGTAACTTTTTTAAGTTAAAAATAATCCAAAATAATTATATTAAAAAAAACGTATTCTGCCAGTGGTCAAAACTATCTGCTTGCCATAGCTAGATTCAAAACGGTTAGCTTGTAATAATGATTTTAATTCCAGTGGTACTGGTGGGTTTCCGCGGGAAATTCGAGCATGCCTTTGCGTCATTACGTCACACCCTTACACATAAAGAAGGAGTTTCGGCTCCTTCGGCTATACTGCGCGTGACGAGATGTTTAGATGTATAGGCTTTTCTCGCAGCACTTTACATAATTAAACTTATGGCATCCAGGAAGATCCAAACAACAATCATCAGTGTCAACTGGAGATTCAGCAGTTATAAAACCCAAAAGACTTCGTACTTCGGATTTAAGGTGGCTAGAGAAAGAGAAAGAAACCGTCTCATGCGAACACAAGGATTTTAACATCGGTGGGGCTTTTGAAAAGTGCGTGAACTCCGTGTTTTGCAGGGGTTCAAAACGGAAGAAGAGACGGCTTTTTTCTGCTGAACAAGAAAGACATTTCAATAGTTCAATCGTGTAACAGTACGTTTTCTTAATTCACACAGTTATGGAGTTTCCTTTGTTGTGCCTTTCTCGTTTTGCTATTATGGAGAATATGAATTCTGAACTACACAGGTAACCATAAAACACATTAAATTTAACATTAGTCACGCTATGCTGATGTGATGCTGTTAACATGAATTTGAGAACAAAGTAGGCTATAATTTGCACGGTTGCTGTAAATCGCGTTGATTAAATCTAACGAAGCTTATCATGTCGAATGCTTTTTCCCCCTTAGTTGGTCAGAACAAAAATGGATGTTACTTACTTGTTCAGAAGACATTTTCTTATGAAAATTCTTATGTTGGTCAAACTTTCAAAAAGTGAATCTGTGATTCTGTATGACAGTATCCACACAGCGCGGTGACTGACAGCACCACTCGCCTCAAAGCACTGTGTTCATCCGCGCTGTTTCATGCCGATTTACAACCCACGTAAAGATAATAATTCCGCGAATCACTGCAGTTACAGATTTCGAACAGAGAGATGGCGACAAAGAGGAAAAGATACGGACTGCAGCTTTAAACAATAATAACAACACTGATATAAGAATGTGCTGTTTATTTTTCAATCAGTTAAGAGCCATTCACACGTTAAAAATGAGACAGTCAGTGAAGAGGAAAAAACGCAAGGTCCAGAGATACATTTCTTCTTTTGGCGCAGCATTTTTAGAAAGGTTATAGAATAGTCTATCTATCTATCTATCTATCTATCTATCTATCTATCTATCTATCTATCTATCTATCTATCTATCTATCTATCTATCTATCTATCTATCTATCTATCCTCCTGTAGCCAGGTCAATAGGGGGCGTATTTACAATCCCTGTAAATACGCCACTTCCTATGAGTGGAATGGTTGCAGTGCCTGAAATGTGTGTCATGGTCGCTGGAAGAACAAGCTAGATCTATTTTAATAGGTGTTATGGTTATGAGTAGAGTGTTTTTAACTCATTTGATGTTTTGCCCATAAGGTCTAAATGCCCTAATGCTGATAAGGTTTGGCTGGATGAGTGGTGGACACTGAATGACCATTGCAGCACACTGCACGTGAGTGTTTACACTTTATCAAAGCGGGTCGTTTTAATAAATGAAGTGATCAGTGACACCCCCTTTTGTTTGTATTAAGACAAATTACTCTTTTGTAGAGAAGTTTGCTTTAAAAGCCCTCACGTTGTTTATGTTGAGCTGGATGAGTGGTGGACACTGAATCGCTGTTGTGCTTCCTGTGCCTTCTGAAATCAGCCAGTCTGTGTTTTTCAACCGCGGAAAGAGCTCAATAAAATAGCGGCAGTCAGACTGATCTCATGAAATGGCGTATGTATGACACGCCAATTCGTATTTCCATTTTTGGCGTGCTATCAACACGCATAATCGCTTTTCAGCGTGTTTATCAACGCCGTTGACTTAACGTTATATTACTGTATATATAAATATATGACCTACCCCAACCCCGTCCCTAAGCCTACCCGTCACTGGGGTTAATACCATTTATGAGTCTTCCCCTACCATCCTAGGAAAAAAAATATCGCTCCCCAGATGTAGATCTACATTTTGCTTCGTTTCGCTCGGACATTTAACGGCGTAGACATTCACGCAAAAGATGACGGTTCGTTTTGGCGTGGACATACACGCGGATAGCTCAAAATGCGTATAGATAACACGCCACTTGACTTGAAAGTGGCGTGTATGTTTACGCAAAGTCATGATGTCATGTTGCGGCAGTAGACTACAATGTCACATAGCGTTACATTTACCTCAGGAAACCATTTAATGAACATAGCACGTAAGTTGGCTAGAAGAAAATAGTAATTTATAATATATTTAGTATTTGCTAAAAATGTGCACTAGCTATATTACATATTTATCATATTTTGTACTTGTATCATTAAAATATTAAAAAGTTGTAATAAAAACCGCATTAGGCCTATATTTAATATGAGTTGTTATTTTTAACCTTTAATAATACCAGCTGACAGGGCTCTCTGTAGTCTATGTTTCCAACATGAGGTGCAATTTTCTTTCTTGAGAAAAATTAACATCTACTGTAGCCTACTAGCCTGCGTTTCCCCATACTGCCTTTGCGCAGCGCGATTTTATTCACGCTGCTAGGCAGTCTGGATACCATGGACCAGATTTTCCCCCTTCAGCGAGGGGACCAATCACAGAATGGGGAGGGAGCAGCAAGACGGTGATGACGTCTATGCGACACACCGAAGCAGTTTGTTTATACCTATGGATCAAACATGGCAGCAGACGCGAAGTTACCTTTCGATGCAGCCTCAAGGGGGTCGCACACCAAACGAGAAGCATGTCTTGAAAAATTCTAACACAATATTATCTATGAGTGTACACACACCGGCGGCGCCATTCGGCGTCTGTCCGCGGCGCCCAGCTACGGCTCAGGACCTTGTTCAAAATCCTGCCGCGCCAGAGCGCCATTTACATAGTTTTATATTAAATTTACATTTATTTGTCTCAAATCGTCGTTAATGTACATACCGACTTCACCCTGTGCTGCAATATACATTTAGTTTAACATTCCTAATTTAACAGCTTGAATAAAGTCATATTGGAAAAAATATATAACAAACATAGCCCTTTTAAATCTTTCATTTTCCCCTGTTGTGCCATTTTTCAATACTCTACCATACTAACCATACTCTAACAAAATAAACTTATTCTAAATTACTGTCTATGCTCTAACCTCAATGCGAAATATTAAAAGCATTTTTATACGATTTTGGGACCGTTGCTGTTTTCGCTCTACATCAGGGGTCTCAAACTCGCGGCCCGCGGGCCATTTGCGGCCCGCGGGGAGATATTTTGTGGCCCCTTACTTGACATTAAAGTGTAATGTTAGTGCGGCCCGTCGTTGCGTGTGCCGCGTTTTAAATGGGCTACCATACGGTGGGTTTGTTGTCAATAGTTGCCATAGACAACCGCTAAGGACAAACATACTGCGCGCCTGGAAAAAATGAGCGCGTCGCTTCAATTATGAGCGCGCTTGCCGCGCACGCGCACCTACATTTGAAATAACGAACTTGAGCGCGCAAAATATGTGAGCGCGATATGTGAACTGCCCCTTGTCGAGCTACCACCAATCAGGCCGCGAGCTACTGGTAGCTCGCGAGCGACATGTTGGAGAGAGACCCTGCTTTAAAACAATGTAAGAATAATCATTTTGAGCTTGTAATATGTGTCCAACAGGTTGATAAGAAGGTTTGCTTTGATTTGTGCAAATTCAGTAGCCTAATTTGCCTGAGACACTATACATGTGTAGAAAGAATTCAATAAGACGGGCAGACATGACTGGAAATATTTGTATTTCAAAAGCAATAATTGTTTTTCTAAGTATATAATAAAAGGAAATGTGCCTTCCAAAAAAAACATTCAATATCATTAATGTGTTGTATAAAGAAAATAAAAAGGACATAAGCAAATATAAATATTACAAATATGTGTTATAGACAAAGAAAGTTTGTAAAATGAACTTCAACTGTCAGAAGGACAGCTCATGAAGAACCAATCATGTACAGAAAGGAATGTTCAAATTCAGAGGAACAGTTCAGAAGAAACGTTAATAATAAAGATTGAGAAGATTGGATCAGTTGTGCTCCTTTTTTGGAATACTTGAATACTATTTTTTGTGGAATTGCCTACTTGATGCGGCCCAGCCTGACCCAGACTCTACCTCCAGCGGCCCCCAGTTAAGTTGAGTTTGAGACCCCTGCTCTACATGCTTCCTTTAAGCAGTGTTTTTCGAAAGTATAGCATTTCAAACTTACAATTATGATATTTCATTAAATAAATCTTCATGTTGAAATAAGACTCCAATAACATGCCACCAGTGAACCACAGGAATATTAATTGATGTTAACAATGAAACCAATAGCTTAAGCGAAAAATATGTAACATATTTGTTTTATTGAACAAATCATATTAGTAGCTATAAGAAATGTTGA